TTTTAAATAATATATTTATGCTAATAATGATTCCAGAAAGTTTTACTTGTGCCTTCTTCTTCTGTTTGTAGAAAGTGCAACATGAGTTGCTGGTGGTCTTTGCCAACGAACTACTTGAAAAAGTGCATTCTGGATGTCGTGCATTGCTCAGAGATGATAAGGTATGGTGCACTCCATTCTTTTTGACTGTATGCAAATAAGCATATAAAATAAAAAGATTGTTGGATTGTAAAAGTACTTGTATCATGTAGACTAACTCTCTGTCTTTTAGATGATATTTCTGTCCATCTGTTTAGACAATGTTGTGCTATGTTCTGTTATTGTTGACTGCAGTGTGCATGTTCTTTTGTAGATCCTCTATTACTATTTATATATTTCTATTGAATCTATTATTTATTCTCTTCATTGTATTAAAAAGGGGTGTCTAATCCTTTAATTATAAGAACACCTATTATTTCCAGGAATCCATGTATCTTCACTGCATATCTTTCTGAGAATTTTTGAAATCTCGGATGGCTATAAACGAACCTTGTTTCCTAGGCCTGTATTATCTACTTGCTTATAAAAGTGCATTGCAGTTGATAATATATCTGGCTCTGATCTGATTCAGGTTCTCTGTTTCCTGTTTCGAAGCTATTTTGATACATGACAAATTCTATTGCTTTCTTTAAGATTGGTTGTTAATTTTGTAGTCCCATTTTTTATCCTTGAGTCTTGTGGGAAATTCTTAATTTTTTAATTATTTTACCATCAGTATGCCATCAAAAAAATTACTTTACTGTCAATAGATAAAATATGAGTGTTGGTAAGAAATAAAAAGATTTAAGTATTGACTTTTTTGTTGTTAGTGTAGTTGATTTGTTGCTCATTGTTCTTTTTTCTTTCCATCTTCCACTTTACTAGGTGTTGCCATCTTTAGGAGAGAGGGATGATGAGTTCATGCTGAGGGAGCTTGTTGAAAGATGGTCAAATCATAAAAAAATGGTCCAGCAGCTGTCGCAACGCTTCCTTGATCCTGATGAGTACTTCATTGCTCAGAGATCACTTCCTACACTTAA